TTTATATGGGAGTTGAGTTTTGAGCACCCTGCCCTGTTATCTTGGTTTATCTGTCCATCTTTTACTAATATTCTCTATCTTTATAATTTTGGTTTATAAAAAGATTTGATCTCGGTACAGCGAGCTTTGACCTTTGCTTTATTTATCTGCTTCAGGAGAATCTTGGCTATTATCAAGCTTTTTCTCTTCCATGTGAATTTTACATATTTAAAATAAATATGTAAATGAAATAATATTCCTTTCATAGATTTATTTAGGGAGAATTAATGTCCTTTCAATATTGAGTCTTCTATCCATGTACATGTTTCATTTCTCTATTTATTCAGATATTTGTTGCATTATTGTAATTTTCTCAATAAATGTTTTCACAAAATATTTATTAGATTTCTAGACCTTGTACAATTTTTGTTAACTTTGTAAGAGGAATTTTTTCATTATGTTTTCTCTTACTTATCAGCTACTTAAATATATATTGATCATTAACATTTTTATTGAGGTAATTTCTGTCATACAATTTAACAATTTAAAATGTACTATTCAATGGTTATTAGTTTAGTATATTCAGAAATACGTGCAATCACTTTCAAGGTGAATTTTATTTTCATTTATTTGTTATGGTTTGTGCTTAGCCTTGTGTGTGCTAAACCCTGACACTGAGCTGCACCCCACTCTTGCATGGTAGATTTTGGAACATGTTTATGACATGAAGAAACACAGTATTCTATAGTCATCCCTCATCCTTGTGTCCTCTCCACCTCCTCCAGCCCCAGACATTCACTAATCTATTTTCTGACTTTCCATGCATTTCTTTTCTATACTTTTGTATGAATGCAATCATCTACTATGCAGTCTTTTGTGATTGGCTTACTTCATTTAGCATAATTTTTAAATGCTTTTTCATGTTGGAGCATGTATCAGTACATTCCCTTTTAAAGTTAAATAATAATTCCATTGTGTGGATACACTCCATTGATTTTTATATATTGATTTTGCTTCTAATAACAAGGCTGAATGCTTTTATTGATTTCAGTGGCACTAGTTTTCTATGTAGATTTTCTACAGATAAACCTGTCTTCTGGCAGTAGGGATAGTTGTTTAAATTCCTTTTTCACTTTTTTATACTTCCTTTTCTAATCTTTCTCTTCTTTCATTGATTGGCAGTTCCAGTCCTGAATGGAAATGCTGAAACAAACATCCTTGTCTTATGTTTGACTTTAAAGTAATTGCTTTTAAGGTTTTATGATCAAATATGATGTTGTCTATAATACTGTATCTTGGTGGGCATACTTTTTGGATTAAGAACATCCTATTTGATTCTTAATAAAATTATTTCATTACAAAATTAAATTTTGGCTATTTTACATCTATTAGGATGATCCAATTTTCCCCCTTTCATTTGTTAGTATGGTCTTTAAAAGATTTTTCTGATGTTGAATTCTATTTGATTAAATGGTTCCGCAGCAATATTCAACATCTTAAAATCATTCAACATTATAGATTGGATACTTATTATATCAGGCACTGTGCTGAGTGCAGAAATACAAAGATAAGTGACACATGGTCCCTTTCTTCTAAAAGTCTACCATTTCCTTAGAAAAGTAAGAGAAGATGAAGGGGCAGGTGAGTAACAAGTATTCAGTGTTCACATTGTACCAAGTACTCTTTTAGATACTTCAGGAATATATTTTGATTTAGTTCTCCAACAACTCTGCAAGTACAATTTTGTAGATTACACATCGGAAGCTTCCAGAATTAATGATTTGCTCAAAACCAGGAATCAAAGCAAGACTTTCCAGCTCCAAAGCCCAGGCTCTTGCAATACGGCAGTGACAAGTGCCATGGTTGTCGAGCATGGAGAGTCATTTCGTTAAGGTGGCCAGGAGCTTTATGAAACCAGAAAATATAGCTTTACATGATCCTCTCAATGGTGAGCAGGCATAACAGAGAGAGGAGCAATGGATCGCCAGCAAGGAGCATGGGGGAAGAGATCAAAGGCACAAAGAGTCAGGAAAGCCCAAGATAACCCAGGGACCAAAGGGTAGATCAGTTAACTGTGATGCATGAATTGTGTAAGATGGGGTTGCAGAGTAAATCTAGAGACACAGATTTGGAGAACCAGCCCATGAAAATTCTTGTGATGGAATGCAGCATAGATTGGGGTAAGAAAATATAGGCTCTCAGATGGGAGGCTATTGCTGCCATCAGGGTGAGCATAGCAAGAATGCTTCACTTGCTCTTCATTCATCTTAGGATGGAGTCCAGCCAAAGAACTTGCCCTGATCAGCCAGGCCTGATGAGAACAGTCCCTTTCCTCTCCAGCCTTGTCTTGCCCCATGGCCTCTTAGCTCCAGCCTCCTTGGCCCCTCCCAGTGTTTGGACTCTCCTATGCTCCCTCTGACCGAGTCTTTGAATAAATTGCTGCATCAGTAAGCAACTTTCTTCTTCCTCTCGGCAGGCCACATCCATTTGTCTAGTAAACTCCTACTCAGGCTTCCTGTCTCATCCTTCCTGTGTTCTTCTTTTTCAGGGTACTCATTTCAATTTTAGTCATATATGATATTCATTTGTGTTTTCTTGAACAATGCGTGTCCCTTCTGGGAAGCTATAAATTCTATTGTAGGAATGGACAGTCTGTGTTCTTTTTTGTTTACCTAGTTCTTAACACAAAGACTGGCTCAGAGTACACTCTCAGTACATATTTATTAAAGGAATGATTTATATGAACTAGGGAAGGTGACATGGGGAGGAACAGAATGCAAAGGTTTTAGAAAGAGCTAACTGACTCAGGGATTGACTAAACGTGGGAACAAGACAGGTGGAGGAATTAGGAATGGATCTCAAGTGTGAACCTTAAATGATAATGAGAGAAGTTAGACTGTTAACAGAAAGAGAAAATCTAGAAGGTTGGTAAATTTAATTTTAGATATATCAAATCGCTATGAAGATCCCAAGGAAAACCATATCCAACAGGCATTTGGTGGTCAGGGTAGTCCTATACAGAGATAGAGATTTTGGACATACTTTCAAAATGGAACAACCATCCATTTAAGAAAGTGGGTGTAATTAACAAGGGAAAGAGAATAGACCAGTGAAGGCTTTGGGAACTGAGTCTTACAGATAGCTGTGTTAAAAGGAGGCAGTACAAGGCAGAGAAGCTGATAATAGTGAGGTGGAGGTAGAAATGGAGACATGAGAGTTGTACTGTGGCAGAAGCCAGTGGCGAGTGGATTCCACTGAGCGCAGAATCTGTACTGCATGGGAAGAATGAGCATTGACCTTAAATTAGGTGTTGACCTTCAGACAGTTCCTAGGTGACTGGGGAGTAAAGTTTCTGTAGAACACGAGGTGGGACAAAATACCAGTTTTAGAAAAAGAAGAGGTTGCCAGTATAGAGCACTGATTTAAGCGCGACAATGCAAAGAAATAAAATCTGGATTCTAAACAGGGCAAACAGTAGAAGGAACATTAAGGAATGTGTCTCAAATTCTTAGATGCCTGAGTGTGTTTGTACGCAGAAGGGGAAAGTCTGTAAGGAGGGTTATGATTTGCTTTTGGCTGAGGGCAGGGAACTGGGGAGGGTCAGCCATACTTGTGAAGAGAGGAGGGTTCTGGAAGAAGTGATGCAGCTCTGTCAATAGGATGCTCCCTCTTGTACTGCAGGGGGCTGGTGTTGAGATGGAGAGGAAGGCCAAGGTTAGGTAGGTCTGCTGACTGCCTGGGGCTCACGGAGTGCTTGAAGGAAGTGGAGTAAGAGAGATTCAGGCTCAGACCCCCAGCATTCTCCATTTGTACAAGCTCAGACTGGGAGGAGGCATGAGTTCTTGCCCTGGAGCGATCTACCTGTCTGCCAGGCCCGGAGTGACACAGCCTCTTTAAAATGCTCCAGAAGCCATGAGAATCAAAAAGAGAAGCGGGTGGGGAGAAGCAGTTTCAGGGGCTGACAGAGCATCGCACCTGGGATTGTGTGTGCAGGAGGCCCCAGCGTGACCTCTCTGAGTGCTGTGGGAAGAGGCGCTTGCTTTCCTGTATACACAGGTGGGAAATCAGTTTCCACCCCCAGCCCCGCCTCCTGTCCAGCCCTTCCTCCAGTGCCCTCCCTGCGGCTGTGAACTCTTCTGCATGGCTAAGCCGAGGGCACTGGAAGCCCGGCATAAAAATCACCTGACATATGCTTTCCTAGCAATTCAAAAGGGCTTTCCCAAAATATGATCTCATTTCATTCTCACGGCGCCACAGTATTGTCCCTAATTTAAAGTCTGCCAATCAAGAAATGCCTTGCGGGAGACCATGCAGCTAGGACATACTTAGGTCTTCAATTTGAAAGCCAGGTACTTTTAACCATTTTGCTTTATTTACACCTGACCTGTCTGCTTTGGTGGTGAGGTGTGTCTACACTTGATTAATCCACTTGGGTGGTGAGGGGGTGAACCCTGGGATTGGGGAGATGAATGGAAAAGTAGCTGCCTGGTAAAAGTGGATGGCAAGAAGCCTGTATTTGCCATGAGCCCGACTTTGCCAAGGGGTGGGGGCACTTCCTCCTGTGGGCCACGAAGCCAACCCTATTTCTGCTAGAAGGAACAGATTGTGTATATCAACTGAAGATGTCATGGAAATAGAAGCAGAGCCTGCATCTGATAATGGTAGTGGGGGTTGGGACATGGACAGGAGGGGAAAATGTCTATGACTCTACCTGCCTGGCTTGAAACCAGAGGGAAACAGCCTACTTCCTTCTTGTTCTCCTTGGATGTGTGTGGATCCACTCCCAGGTGAAGGTCACTGACCAGGTTTGTGACCCTGGGCAAGTCCCTTCATCTTCTGGGCTTGGGCTTCCTTTCCTGGAGAATGACGTGGTTGGCTAGATGATTGCTGAGGTCTGAGTAACTAGCATAGTCTCCAAGTTCATGACTGTGAAGAACTGGAGATCATTAGAGCAGCAAGAGAAGAATTTCTTTCTGGGGACTTCTTGTCTGAGTTTTTTTTTTTTCCTTTCTTTCCCACAGGGGCAGTAAAAACACTAATAGGTCCGTGAAAGAACATCATTTTCTTGGGGGCAGCTTATATACTGTGCTATTTGCAAAAGTAACTAATTCGCCAACCAACTAGCTCACTGATCAACAAGGTAATTAACCAACTAACTAACCACCTAACCAACCAACCCAACAAATATCCAACTAATCAACTGCTGACTTTCACCTGAGCAGAGCCAGGGTGCAGGAAAGATGGCTTGCAAACATCCTCTTCCGTGGACAGAGGACAGAGGCTGAAATAAAGCTGCCAATCCTGGAGCTGCAGCTCTAGGCTCCAAGTATGAACCATGATTACACTTGGCCAGCTGGGAAGGTCCGACGGCCAGGCTTTGTCCCTTGGAGGGGACCATTTCCAACTGCCTTTTCCTTAAACTTGGATGGCCGAGCAGCATCCCTGGAGTGGTTCTGACACAAATCTGTAACTTGCCGGGCACAGGCGACTGCAGTTTCACGTGGCCGTGCCAAGTGTGGTGAGAGGCCCCGTGTGCACTTTCAGTCACATGATCTGATGACTCAGGCCCATTCTGGTTCCTGCTTGCCAGAGTATGGGAACTGGGAGGAAAGTGAGAAATGGCTTTGCTATGGTTCTCTGGGAGGGTCCAGGGTTGGGCAACGCCCTGTTGCTATATGGGCTCCCCTGAATCCTGTTATCTAAGCATGAGTGTAATAAAGTTATCATGTAGTCACAGAATTGCCATTTTCAGAGGATGTTTCCTGAGTTCCTGTGTTTTATCCCCTGTCTCCAACAGGAGCAAGCCAAAATCATCCGGAAAGGAAAAAAAAAAATCAACGTTTTACCACTTCCTTTAATGAAATAGCTTGGTATTTTACCTCCCCATCCAGAAATGTTTTCTGTGCTGTCTGACCTGAATCCACCCTGACACATTTCACTGTGATTCTTCTCACTCCGGTAGACAGAGTGGAAAATTCATTCCACAGCAGTAGGAATGTCTAACCCAGAAAGAAGATGCTAATTCTGACTTTATTTCCTCTCCTTTGCCACTTTATAGGCTTTTGTTCTTTCAAATTGGATTTTTTATTTTTTTATTTTTATTTTTTGGTCTTAAGCATTGAACCCAGGGCCTTTGCACTGAGTTACATCCCCAGCCCTTTTTTATTTTTTAATTTTGTGACAGGGTCTCATTAACTCTCTAAGTAGCCGAGGATGATCTCAGACTTGGAATCCTCCTACTCAGCTCTCAGATTAGCTTTGAAAAGTTGCTTCTTTAAGGAATCTTTCACTGTTAAGCCCCTCCTTTCCACAGAAGAGCCAAGAGCACACGCAGAGTTTCTCTCATGCACATGCTCTTGTGGACATGCTATTTTAAAAATTCTTTGAATCCTTTTCAGGGCACAGTGCTCTGTATTTCCAGGTGGGATGGATTCTCTTTAATTCAAATAGGGAGTCCAGAAAAGTGCTGTGGGCTTGGAGTCAGAAGTCAGGGATTTGTTGTTCAACAGCTGTTAATTGAGGCAGCGTCTCCGAGTTGAGAGGCTCAGTTTACAGAATTTTCTGGAAAACAGAAAATGAGGCTTTCACTCTAGGGGTCACTTCTTGGGGACAAATAAAGAAATGCATATAAAAGAACTTAAAATAATTGTTGCCACTTAATAGACCCGTAGATACCAACTTACACACCTTAAGGACAGAACCTCTAAGTTCTATCTCTCCGGTTTTTCTTGATATGGCCTCGCAATGCTGCTCTGTGAGCTTGATGACTACTGTGGTCTGACCGTCTGTCGGGAGCTGAAGACCTGGAATTTGGAAAGGCCTTTGAGCCATTCTGTGGTACACAGGGAGAAGTCCAGACTAAGAATCGGGACTCTGGGAGGTCAAAGGGGATGGGAGAAAAGGATGCTGTGTATTTCTCTGAGCCAGGGAACCAGGTAAGACAGAATCTGTGGAATAAGCAATAGGGGTAAGCAGAAAAACACAGTTTTAGTCCTAAGAGATCATGTCTGGTGCAGGCACATGCAAGACAAAGTGCCGGTGATGTTCCTATTGAAAAAAATCTGTCCCCTGTAATTGCACTTGCTCTTAGAGTTCACCTTTGCACTGTCTTCTCTATATTACTCTGTCACTTCAACAAGTCACTGTTTCTGGGGTGGGGGTGGGGGTTTCTTTGTCCAGTTGCTCATTTTGATTTTCTAGGAGGACCAGATGTTATTGCTGCTGAAATAATTTCTTTTACCCCCCAAATACAGGACCTTTCCTTTGCCTGGTTCCTTGGCATTCTCTTTGCCCCTGGGCCAGAGGTGCTTAAGATAGCTGGGGCCATGCTCAAGTGAGTGCTGGTGATAAGTGTTGACCTGGATCCAGTGTGACTTGAGGGTGCAGTGGGCAGGGATGACTCAGGCTGAGGAAACTACTCCTCAAGGGCTCTAGGGAGGGAAAGAGTGTGGAGTGGGGCATGGGCTTGCAGCCTTGGCATAAGCTAAGCCTGGGTTGATGGAGGACAGGGAGCAGTATGTTTACAGAGGGTGAGGCTCCCTCTTTCTCACCATGCCAAGTGACTGGAGAAATGAGGGAGGGTCGGCAGTGGAAGGTCACTTCCACTGCTCATCTCATTCTTGAGGCAAAGCAGCCCAATATGAGATGCTCATTTATTTTTCTACCACCACTGATTGAATCCCTGGTGGTAAATAAAGGCCTGTGTGTGTGATAATTTTTGTTTTGTGCCACAAAAATAGAGCTAAATTTAACACATCCCTCTGTTTAGAGCACACTGTCCTTAGTGAGTTGTGTAAGGGCATATTCTGGCTCATTTTGGTCTTTGCCATTTGCCTTTCATCCTTGATTTCTACTGCCATTCCCTTTGTTCCTTTTGCTGATGCCCACACTCATCCCTGATGCACATGGTGCACTAATGATGGGACAGCAGGTCTCTATACATGTGCCCCATGGGGGAATGGCTGGGCTACAGGGAATAAGAATACCTAAGTTCACCAAAGACTTCCTCTTTGTTGTCCAAAATGGCAGTGCTGATAAAATATTGTTTCAACATCGCATGAGTGAGCCTATTTATTTCCCTGATTTTTCCCTAGCACTTTGTGTTACTTGGTTTTTGAATCTTTACATACTGGATATTTGTAAGATAGTATATTATTGTTTTTAAATTGGCATTTTTGCTGATTTCTTGGAAGGGTTCATATCTCATTTTGTACTAGGTATTTATTCTCAATATGTTATCTTTTGCTCATTTTTCTTTTTCTTCTTTTTTTTTATATGGGGGATCAAACTCAGGACCTTGTACTTGCCAGGCAGGCACATTTTGGTCATTTTTTTGGGGTTTATTTTTCATATTGATTGGCAGGAGTTTCTTGAATATATTAGATACATAATTATCTATATGTATGGATAATCTCATACTATAATATTATTCTTATCCAATTTTGGAATCAAGATATTTACTAGCCTCACAAAGTGATTGCTATTTTAATTTTTTTTTTTTTTGGTACTGGGGATTAATTTCTATAATGGTTATTTTATCTATGCAAAGTTTCAATTTCTTCTTCTGCTAATATGGACACATTTTACAAATTAAGTATAATGTGTCTAGCTATAGGATGCCCTTTATATTTTATAGCACTTCATAAGTCCTTTCAATTGAAGTCTATGTTTTTTTAATTCAGAGAACTAATATTTATTTCTTTAGGTATACCCCTCTTTCATTAGTTTTATTGTCTTTTTCTGTAGCCTCTGGTGAATCTTCTACTTCTCTACCCCATTATCTGAATTTTCATTTTTGTTCTTTGGAAAAAAGTTAAAATCTATATGGTATGTATTTATTTACTTTTAATTTAATGTAAGTTTCATAGTCTTCCTTTGTATTTATTTCTTTTCTTACTGGAGTATACTTCCAAGAGAATATTAAGAAAGGTTTTACATATGCCCAAAGTAACATTAATTTGCCCTCAAATTTAAAGATAACTTAGTCAGAGTTAAAAGTGTAAATTGGAGCTTGTCTTTTTGCCTTTCTTTCTTTTCTTTTTTTTTGGTATCAGGGATTGAACTCAGGACCTGTGCTTGCAGGTGTGGAGCCACTGAGCTACATGCTTGGCCTGTCTTTTGTCTTTCAACACGGAAAAATATTATTCTTTTGCTCGTCATCCAATGTTGATATTAAAGATTCCTGTTCCACTCCGAGGGATCTGTAGCTTCTCTCTGGAAATCTTTAGAATTGTCATCTTTATTTTGGTTTTGTGAGACACACATTTATTTTCTTTGCCATTTGACCTCTCTTGTTATGACATCAAAGGAATAAAAGCTGGTGTGAGTTGCCAACAATTGTGGGAATGTGGAAGGGTGTTCAGAAGCCACATGGTGGTGGGGTATGTGGAAGGCAGTGGATGGAACATTGTGAAGAATACACACAGTAGGAGCTGCTGTCAAGGGCTGGCTCTGCTTCCTGAACCCTGGAAGTGCTCAAAACTCTAAATTTGAAGACTATTCAAAGAGTCTAAATTAGAGGACTCTAAAACTCTAGATTTGGTAGAGAGCAAGATATAGGCTGAGATGAACCTGGGAAAGAAGTACTCTTTTCTAAAGAAATCGTACAACCTGTTCTTCCTAAAGTAGCTAAAGCCACATCCAGGCTTCCGTTCCTGCCCTGCCACCTCATCAGAGCCCAGCAGTCAACAAGGCCTGCCAGTGTGTTCCAAGTCACAGTCAGCAGGTATCTGTGGAAACCATGACAGATGCAAAACAAGACTGAGAAACAGGGAAGTGATACCACAGAAAAAGAAGAGGTAACTCAGGGTATGTAAGAAGCTTGAGAGAAAGACTAATGTGCATCATCAGAGACATTTATAAAAGACATCACTTCAATTAAACAAAAAGAAGATGCTGATCTATTACATTATGGTGAATATGATTAATGAGAAGATACGGTATATTTGAAAATTGCTAAAGGAATAGATTTTATGTGTTCTTACTACCAAAAAATATGTGATGTAAGGCATATGTTAATTAGTGTGATACATAGCACACTTATTTCAAAACATCATGTTGCAAGTGATAAATATATATATATAATTTTTATCTGTTAAAGAATAAAGAAAGAGGATGCTACTGCAATGTTAATTAAATAGAGGAAAAGTGAAACAAAAAGTGAAAGAGAGGGAGAGAGGGGAGAGAGACAGAGAAAAGAGAGATAAAAAAATGAACGGGAGGGGCTGTGGATTTAGCTCAGTGGTTCTGCTGCCTGCCTCGCAAGAGCGAGGTCCTGAGTTCAATCCCTGGCACCAAACAAACAAACAAAAATGAACAAGAAAATCAACGTGAAATAATCTGGGGACACAACACTTAACTGATAGGAGATATTAAGGAGAAAAGCTGTGGGAAGGAATTGGAGAGAAATAGTGCAAGAGTATTTCCTGGAGTTGAAAGATACAAAATTTAAGAAAAAATTGTTAACCTGGTCCTCAGTGACAGTGAATAAAAGTTAGCAAATGTAATATTATAAAATCCAAGATATTAAAAATAAAAGAGAGACCTTAATGTTTTCAGAGGGAGAGAGAGAGAGAGAGGGAGAGAGAAGAGAGAGAGAGAGAATATAATGGCAATCTATAAGTAAATAGGCACCCAAGACCTTTAATAGCAACCCAGGTTTCTAGAAGATAGTTTTCAATTGCCTTAGATTATGAAGGGAAATGACTTTTCAACTTGATATCTATGCTCAGCAAAATATCTGTAAATTTTGAAAGCAGAAGTAAGGACATTTTGAGACTGATGAAGAGTTGGAGGCCTAATTCCACACTCCTTTTAAAGAAAGTCATATGAGAAGGCACTCCAGCAAAATGAGGGAGTAAAGGAAGCAGGAGGGTCATGGAATTCTAGAACCCAGGACAGCAGTGATGGGAAACACAAGACTACAGTTTTGCTGCAGGTCTAGAGATGAGAATAAATTTTATAGATGAATACTAATTTGTATTTTCAGAGATTTTTGAAGACATCATAAGCACAGAGAAATTAAATCCATTGACCAAGATTATACACATGTAAGTACAGTCATTCCTCAAGATCCACAAGAGATAAGTTCCAAGGAACATTGTCAGATACTAAAACCTAAGGATGCTCAAGCTCTTTAGGTAGAATAACATAGTATTTGTGTATGACCTATACACATCCTTGTGCATATTCTAAATCATCTCTAAGATATTTCTAATATCTAATACAGTGTAAATTTTATAAAGATAGTAGTTGTACGGTATTGTTCAGGGAATGATGATGAGAAAAACAAGCATGTGCATGTTCAGAACAGATATAAATTTTTCCTATATATTTTCTAGCCTTGTTTGGTCGAATCCATGGATGTGGAAGCCATGGGTACAAGAGCAGACTAGTAAGTTAAGGATCTGCATTCACCAACTCTGGGCATGCTCTCTCATCTCAGACCATATGGTGTTTCTCCTGGTCCCTATCTTAAAGTCACTAAAGACTTCCACTAGCAAAATGCAGATAGTCTATGTTCCATGGTACTAAACACTCACTTACTAGAGTCAGAATGCAAAAGATGCTCTGTAAAAGTGCTCAGTGAAGAAATAGCCCTATAGAAATCAAGAAATCGTTTCTAGGGGGATGAAGATCCAAGAGGAAGGAAAATCCAGAAAAAGTGAACAGTGATTTGGTAGATGGTGTGATCAAGTGGAAAGGGAGAGGTAAGAGGCTCTGGCAAGAGATTATTGTCTTGCATTTTAAATCTCTGCACTTAAAAAAATTAAAATTTTAAAAATTAAATCACATGCCTGTATCCCTTTGAAAAACTTTTTGTATAGTTTTGAAAGGGTGAATAGGGCTTATTTGGAAGATTAGCCAAATGAGGGGTTACAACAAGGCACAAGGAACAGAGGAGTTGATGTGTGGCTGGTTGGGAACTGTGTGGTTTTGAGGCTGGACTGTGGGGTGGCTGGGGGTGCTGGGTGGGAGTAGCAGGAGAGGACTCTGGACAAGGAGGCTGGGGCAGAGCTGTGGAAAGCATCTAAGGCCACACTAAGAAGTTTGGAATTTCCTTTGTTGGCAGAGGGGAGTTGTCCAAAGTTTTGAGCTGCATGATTCCATCTGTGCTTCAGAAGGATCATCTTTACAGCAGTATGGACTAGGGTTAGGAGTGTGGGAATGGCCCCAAGCAGGAGGGCCAGGTTAGAGGCTGTGACAGCAGCTCTTACTGAGAATCTGAGTCTGGATGCAGGTTTCTGACCCACATAGAAACCGACTCTCCATGGCTGCCACTGGAATAGAAGTTATTCCTACCATGTTAGCTGCTCCCTTGGACTGGTCTGCAATCTGTCACCTCTAGCTGGTGGGGTGGCCCCTGCCCAGGGACACCCTGATGGGCAGCAGGTGGGTGACAGAGGTTGGGCCACCTGGACTCTCCTGCCCCTCCTCCTCCAGGAGCCCTAGGAGCCCCTGCCTGAGCCTTCATCTCATTTCAACTTTTTAGCCCTTTCTGTAAACTACTTTGGCCCACTTTTCAAGTCATGTCTTACTTTTTAGCACAAGATTTTTACCAACCTCTCTCCACCCGCCCCTGACACCCCTCAATGATTCTCTTGGTTTTTTTATAAGCAGTTTTTCAGTTTTTTCCCCCTGCTCTGCCAATTCATCTAAGAAGTAGGATTTTTCCCTCAGACTCTTCATTATTAGTATTTTTAAATAATACAATGGAAAAAAACGAATGCTTTCAAGCGTTTAGCCTGCTGCTTTCTAGGTTCACACCCACTGGCGCCCTCCCTTTGAGACTTGTTAACATTTCCCCACCCTTGGCCTGGGCTTGTGTGAGGCTCCTCAGAGGCCTGAGGCCTGTCTCTCCTGTCACCATTATTTCCCCCTGGCCTTCTTCCTGCCTCCATGCCTCCTTCCTCCTGCCCTCTGGTTGCCAGGCAGTATAGCTCAGGGGCATAAAGAGCTGGCTGGTGGTGACCAGCTGCAATAGCAGCTGTGTTTTTCTCTCTCTGGTACAGGCTGGCTGGGAGTGGGGCAACTCACTGAAGGTCAAAGTCAGCCATCCATAGCCAAGGCACCACTCTCCGCTAGGTGCTAGGTGTAAACCTGACTCAGAAGGGGAAACA